AAACACAGTGGGGCAGAATTTTTTCTTCTCCAGTGCGTTGGAGTGATGGGCTCTGAAATTGAGTGTGTGAGATGATATCAGCCGTAGTGGCAAGGGGGATGAGTCTTTTTAAGAGAATTTTTTCAAAGATTTTTGAGAAAGTAGGGAGAAGACTTATCGGTCTGTATGATACTGGGTTTTCAGGAGGTTTATTTGCCTTGAGAATGAGTATTACTACAGAGTGCTTCCAGGTGTTTGGGAAAAAAGATAATCTTAGTATTGCATTGTAAAGGTGAGATAGGTATACTATGGCTTTACGTGGTAGACTTTTTACTTTATAATTTGTTATTAGGTCATGACCTGGGGATTTTTTGGCCAGAAGTTTTTTAATTATGGTGTTAATTTCATCAGGAGATGTAGGTTTGGCAGGCATGGATATTGGTAGAGGAGCTTCAAAGTACTTTTCAATAATTTTTAGTTGGGTATAGCTGGGTTGAATATCATGAGGAGGAAAAGTGTTTTCTAGGTGTTGTGCTAAAATATTTGCTTTGTCAATGTTGGTAATGACCTATGAGTTGTCTTCATTTTTTAGAGGAGGGGTAGGTTGATTTAGATGGAGTAAAGATTTGGTTGCTTTCCAAAGGGATGAGTTTTTTGTTGTTAGTAATTCAACGTAGTTATTGTATGATTGATTTCGATCGTGTTGGATAGCCTTTTTTATTTTGCTGTTCAATTTGTTAAGTTTTACCTTGTCATTGGGGTACTTGAAAGTTTGCCATTGATTCCTTGTTTTACGTTTCTCGGTTAGTAATACTTTTATGTGATAGGGGGTTTGTTTTTTGAGGTTTGAATGGTTATAGAATTTTGCCGATTCGAGTGCAGCGTTTTGGATAGAGATTATGAGGAGATTTACAGCATCATTGATATCGTTCGACATTTTTAGTGAAATCGAGATTTTGATATCTTTGTTTATTACTTTTTTACAAGTAAACCAATTTAGTTGACTTGGGGTAAGAGATTCACTTTGTTGAGGAGGGACGTTTAATCCAAGTTTTAGCATTGTTGGAGTGTGCTCAGAAGAAAGGTCGTAGAAGTTGGTAAGATCGCTGTGTATGTTACTAGGTAGTTTTTTAACAAAAATGTCCAAAGTCAGGAAGTCTGTTATTATGAGAGGGCCAGTAGGTAGGACCTGGGGGAGCCGTTGATGAGTAATTTTTGATGTTTATGCACTGCTGAAATGCTCTGCCTCTGGTATTGGAAGAACGGTTACCCCATGCTGGGTTTTTAGAGTTGAAATCGCCACCCGAGATAAAACGATGACTCAAGGTTGAGAAATAGGTTTTTTTTTTTTTTTTAAGTTAAAAGTAAAACTTTAAATTCTTTAAAATCAAATACAATAAATATAAATAATAAATACAATTAATTGATTGCCACGAACATATTAAAATATACATATATATATATATAGACATTTTACTATGGTTAGTTTAAATTTTACAATACCCCAAAAAAATTCCGGTCAAGTCGGGGCTCGCCTCGTGCGCACGCCTATGATTACTGCATAGAACCGGATTAAACAAAGATTTTTTGAACCAATAGTTTTCGTTCATCCAGTACAATTTCGTACATTTGAATGAATTGAATTGATTTTATTTTCATATTGGAATAATTTAATGTATTTTGTGATTAAGTCATAACTGAATCATGACTTATAAAATGTTATTGGAATGTTAAATGGTCTATATAATAATTTACAATGATCTATATGTAGCAATCAAAATACAGTTTAAAGAATGATGGACTTTTTATTCACTGTCCGAATTCTGGGTCAATTCGTTCACAAACAGTGAACCCTAATTAGAATGAAATTGAATAAATGAACAAATATATGAATTTTTATATTTTGACCGGATCGGTTCATCATAGGTGTAACCTGTTCATTCGCGAACGACTAATTTCTTGACGCAGGTATCTTATTATTCATTAAACTAGTTCCTCTAAGTAAATGATGAATGAATGAACTAGTTAACTTAAATGAACCATAAGTCTTTAGTGAGAATAGTTTATAGAGTTTATACAGCAAAAATTGTTCATCCCATGTAAATTATTATAGATTCAGTGGCGCCATTTCAGCTTCCATTCTTCTTCGCGGGTCACATGCACGTGCCATCACCTTCCAAATAGTGTCCCCACATAGCAGAAATCATTTACATGAATTTGAAAGTCGAAATGGTGCTGCGGCTTACGTTTGAACTGAATATTATTGGTCGATAATTACACATTTATATGATTGGTTTAAGGTGAAGACAAAGGTAAAGTGATTTATGTAGGTAAACAGCTAATCCATATAAACTATTGATTATCGTTATTTGTATTAAATATTTATGTATACATATGCATTTTCAATAAATCTTATAAATAGTTTATTATGTCCTGTAATATATGGGTATCGTGATGAGCAGTTTAAGTGGTGAAGAATGCCGACAAAACATTTTGCGGAGGACCCAGTGCAATTTTTTCTTTGTCTCTTTTTTTACTGAAAACTTTGTAAGTTTTTTAAATAATGTCCTTGTTTGTCATTCTATCTACATATTTTTTGAATTAACACAAACTATTTTTATTTTATTTTAATATGTCCGTGTGCTTTTTTCTATAACACTTTCAGTATTATAATCAGAACATTCTAAATATAGGCGAAACAGGAAATATTATTGGACTAGGCTAGTCTATTTTTTATTTCATTCACAGTGACATGTGTGTAGTTAGTATTAAGTACTTTCAACGTAACGCAAATAATTAGTCAGTCAAAACAAAACCATATTTTTCCTTCGAGATCGAATTTTATTTTATGAATTTTCTGATTGTAACTGTAACTAAGTTTAAAACGGTAATCGCTCCAATTATAATAGCTTTTGTTTAACAATGGTGATTGGGAGGGTTACCCGGATTTTCCTTCTATATATGCTCAGGATACTCTGAAAAAAGTATCGTTGGTTTTAGTATTGTAATGTCGTAGTGTAAGTTGTATGAATACGCACGCACGCATGAATATACGCCTTAAGACTTTTTATAACCTGTTTATATACCTCATGAAAAACAAACGTAAAACGGATTTTATAACACGTGATTTAAGAACATTATTACATTGTCATCCGTATTGTATGTTAGATTTGCAAATACAAATTTATTTTACACAATCGATTAACCATAAAAATACAAATGAAACTTCGTCTATAATAAGTCGGTTAATGTACATCAAAATGACGCATCGCTGTTAATACATAGTTGTATGGAAATTTAATTTTATGGTTGCCAAAAAAGATCGATTAATCGTTACACGACCTCTACAGAAACAGCATATAAGTTTTCAAGCAAGCTCCTCTACATCGAATGTTGGGCCCTATAAATATATGTTAGTACGCTTCTAATAATACAATTTACTATAGGTACATAATTAATAAACAAGAATAATAAATATTTTGAATGTAACGCTATTATTCATTAAAATTAATTTTTATTAAAATGTTATTTTAATGAAAAAAGAAAAAAATATTTTTTTATTTGACTTCATTGAATAAAAAATATTTTGTTTTGAAGTAAAAAAAAAAAAATTACAGCTTTAAGCATAGTGAGTTCATTTATAAAATTATTGAAATGGTTTTTTGAAACAAATATGTTTTCCAAGTATAAAAGAGCAAGTTAGTTTAATCGTTATAGATCTGTTGTTGGTTTTTGTTATGTCTTTAGTGAATTTCCCAAATTTTTAAAAGATATTTTAACTTTTGTACAGTAAAAAATATTTAGTTTGAATACACTCGTTTTCAAAAATGTTCTATTTGCGTAAATGGAGTAATAGTAATAGTAATTTTTGGTAATAGCATTAAAATACTTTTTTGAAATACTGAAGAAAATTTAGTTTTGAATTATCATATTTCATGATACATATATTTTGGTAATTTAGGTAAATCAAATTTGTGTTTTTATACAGTTAATTTTGTTTTCAATTCTATTTCTTCATTGGTGATAAAAAGTTTAATGATGGCTTAGAAATGTAACAAATATTTTTGACTGCTTAAAATAACTGACCTAAGTATAAATCTATATACATAAATTAAATCTATATACATAAATATATTTATATATTTATAAATTATAAAATGTAAATTAAATCAATACATTTAATAAATAATCAATAGATTAAAAATTGTTGTGGGTTCCTTAAGAAAGTCAGGCTCCTGTACTCCAGGTACAAAATCCGTCTTACTTGTACGAGTTCCGTCTTTGAGTGACTTACAAACTTGAAATTAAAAAAAAAAAAAAAAATTAAATTAGATGGTTCTTATTATTTAATATTTATACGAGTATATGTTATCTATGTGAATATATCTACCTAAGTGTTTGTTTTAGTTATTTTAGATATTAAATGTACTGGTTTTTTTTCTCATGTGTCTTAAATAATATTATATCATATAATATATTTTACAGTGCAAATGATTCATAATTATTTTTTTTCCCATTTTTATATTTGCTGTTAATATAATTCATTGTGTAAATTGAGTGGTGAACTTGGAATCTAAATAAAGTTTTATGATGATAGCTACTTAGTAAAAATAAATTAAAGACAAATATATGCAATATTTTGATTCTAAAGTAAGTGTATAATATTTTGAAAATATTAACAATTTTCTTTTTCACAGAAAATATTGAATTTTCAACAGCGCACAAATACTAAACAATTATTTAAATTTAATACTTAATATATTAGTGTTATTTATTTTTTAAATTGCTGAGCAGAATATTTTGATTGTATTGGGCTGAAAACGATAAGCAGGGCCTCTATATATTTATGACCTTCAAAGTGTATACATTAAAACCGGTGTAATTGTGCTATTATTTATGTCCCCTCGTCGGCACATTTGTTTGCACAAATGTTCGCACGAATGCCTCCTTATCCGCTCATACCACACATGTAAACTCAGTATAAATGTATGTATATATTTATGTGTATGTGCGTGTGAACGGTACTATGGTGTATTGTTACTATAACGGTAGTAATTATAATTATTAATTGTGTTTGAAACATAAGAAATTTAGTAATCGACAATGTGTCTGAATAGTGCATACCTGCGATGGATACGGCGGCCACTTGTAAGTATTACGTAACGAAGTTGCTTGGTATTAGTCCTCCAAAACCAAATTGTGTGTACGACGTACGATCTGGTAATGTCCGTAATCGTGGGCAAAAATCCCTGTTTCGTGTTTTCTACCGATCGAATGGAAGACGCCGAAAGCATCGTCATAGAGTTAATGTACCGGAGTCCTATGTTCCATCGATGCATGCAGACGAAGTTGGTGCAAAAATAGGCGATGGCCATGTGCTGGAAGAGGATACAGTTGAGGATATCGAGAAGAAGTTCCAAGGTTTTCGAAACGTCTTCGAAAAATGTAAGGTTAAGAAAAAGAAACCTCGACTATTCAATGTCAGTTCAGGGCTACGATTCACATTGGTTGCAAACACAATGTTGATGGACAGTCAAAAAAAATCAAATGGAGACTCCACGAAAACCATTTCTGAAGAAGATGATGCCCTCGAGAAAGGCAACGTTGTTGATGAAGAGGATTATGACGAAGAAGAAGATGAAGATGAAGATGACAAAGAAGATGATGATGGTGATGACGTTGAGTACATAGCTGAAGATGATATTGTTAATAATCCAACGAATATGGTCGAAAATGATTTAGTTGGCGAGACATCGGAGACAAAATGTCCAAAAGACGTTGCGGATAAAGTAAATTCCTGGATCGATAGCTCCGTTAAGCTGACAGATGAATATTCTGAAGAGGAGAGTTTATTTATCGATGAAGAGGTAAATTGTTTTAGTTAAAATATATAATATATTATAACGAGTGCTATAATTAATGATTATCAATAATTTAACATAATTTACTTATAATTTGGATTTGTGCAAGGATAAGTATACTAATGTGTTGTTAGTATTTTGACAAATATGGGATTGTAAAATTTGATATTAGACAACACATCAATATTAAATACATAACTTTATAAATTAAACATGGTAAACTAATACTTTTAGTTGATTGAGTGTTTATATTAATCAAAATCTATTCATTAAACCAAACATATTTTTTATGTGAATATACTCATTGAAAATTTATTTTCTAATTGATATACTCATAATATTTTATCATGCAGTTAGATAAATTTAAAAAATTAATTTTAAAATTATATGCACTTGAAAAATATATTTTTTGGAGGATTTCCTGCTTTTAAGACCATTCCGTACAACAAATTGTCCTTCACCTCTCTCTGTTTTCAGCTATATCCATAAAAGATTATTTTAACTGTCAATAATAACTATAAATATGGAAATGTATGATGTTTCCATTACAATGAATTTCCTCATTTTTTTATAAATTCTTAAAAAATAATCCAATTGAGACTATTTATAATATTTCGTTGAAATTATTATTAATTATTTATTTACCTATAGGTTAAAATAATATTCGAAAGATTGATATCCCTATTTTTCAAATCACAATTGGATTGAAAAATGTGTAGAAATCAATATTTTTTCTTACTCTATTGCTATAAAACGACCAAGATAAATATAAAATTATTGGATTGGTATTATATTTTTTGATCGAATTCAAAAATTTTATTTTGTGACTGTATTGACTAATTAGTTACATTAGTACATGCTATTGGTATTGTGGTTGTATTATTCTTCATAATATAAATACGTATTTTATTTGGGTTTTACTGATGTGCATCAATTATGCGTCTATAATGTTCTGTACACAGTGTACCTTACATTTTATACATATGCATTTCTTAGCGGTAAGGTAATAATTACCACGAATTAGTGACCTTAAATTTTAGTCAATCGTTTTATAGTATATTATATTGCACGCTTTAATAATAAACATTTTAATTGAAAATAAATAAAAGGCATTAATAATTTTAAAATCTGAAATTAGATTTGCCACGACGAGGTATACGCGGATACGTGATTCAGTCTTAATTATAAGACACTAATTAGTTTTAACACTAATTTTTCATTTCCCTCTTCTGTTCGGGGGTTGATCAATGAATCAACAGTTCATTATGATAACAAATTATAACTAAGTAATTAATAAATAATTTTATTGGAAAGTAAAGCTGAAGTTTTATAACATGAAGCTAACAAAAAATGAACGGTTTTTTTTATAAATTTTTAATTTTATATACAAAGATAGTTGAAATATAAATTCTATAATATTTTTATGGTGCGTGCATAGTTTAAAATGGAACTAAGACTTCATGTTAAAGTTTAATTACGTTTTTAAGCCTTAGAATGGTTTTATACATTTATGTATGTTCAAAACAGACATATTTAAAAATTTAATATAATTTAATTTTGTCACTAAACTCATGTTTTATCTGATATTATAATGGAAATATTCGATGTATCTAAATAAATATGTCATTTTGTATCAAAGAATAATTTAATTTTTAATTATTTACCTGATTATATTCACATAATTTTGAAAATCTCTCTTATATTTTGTTATATTTTTATTAATACATATCTGCATATACAAGTATAATACATAATATTACAAATTGTTCATGTTTAGGGGTTATTATAGGCTATATGTAGTTATTTAACCTTACCTAACTAAAAGTGAGTCCGACCATCATTAGTGATTTACATATGTAGACAGTTGCGTGGTTAATTTATCCCATTGATTGGTGATAGTACTATTTAGTAATCAAATTTTTAAAGTTAACATATTTATATTTAATATCGATGTTAATCTTGTTAATCCAGGGTGTAACGACTAATCACTTCTTTAAAACTTAAGGGCTGCATTCCGAAAACTGCTTACCACACTACTGTATTTCATTTAGAGATGATTCTAATCGTATAGTTTTGGAAGTCAAACGAAACTATATCTATTTTTTTTTCTATAACTCCAATTAAATTTAACCCTAAGGGTTAAGGAATACGATGAAAATACCGCACCAGTGGTTTGAATACATGAGTTTGATTAGTCAAAACTTTTTAAGAAAATAATGTAAATAGTATTAGACACTGATAAAATTATGTCTGTACGATTTTCAAATCTATGTTTTGATATTTGGTATTATGAAGACTTTTAAAAACATTTTTTCGATTTCGAATAACAAACCTTAGTACACAACCATCAGGTTCGAATTTCGTACCACACGGTTTGCGTTCGATGGTCCATTACTAACAATACGCATACGGTATACGTTTGGGGGACACCAAAGAAGCGGAAGTATTGTACTCGAGTTTCCGTGCGGTGCACAAGTGTGACGGTACGGCACGTTAGCATTGCAAATATGCATGCACGCATATTGTATGGTGCACCGCGTAGGAGTTGGGCGCCATTCGAGCGTTCAAAATAGTTGTTAGAACGAGAGATAGACGAGTGAATTCCGGCCTGATCATTGTCGTGGTGCGCGCGCGATTGCCACGGGCGGAATACTATCGACCCGCACGGATAACCACTATTTCCTCAGTAGAAATGGCGTACGGGGCGCTTGCGTTCTCTCTCGGAGTGACGCGTCCCTTCAGCCCACGACAGACGCACACTGTGCAACCGGCTGTGCGATTTTTCATACACGCACTCGGATATGTGTATATTTTTTTACCACATTTTCTATTGTATTCTGTTTTTTTTTTTTTTTTGGTCCCTCCCCCCACCAAACGCGTCCTTCGATTTCGAGGAACTCGGGTGTAACGTGACCAGATCAAGACGACGAATCGACCGCGATTGAATTGTAACAGACGTCTCAGGACGATTAGATGTTTTCTCGTTGACATTTTAACTCCGCGTTCGGTTTTGGCCGCAGAACGCCTACTTCAAACTAAAATCAATGAACGCGGTTAAAATTTTTAAAATGCTTAGACTTGCCGTTGGTGACCCGGTCATCGTATAGAGAACACTTGCGAAACAAAATTAATCGCTGTGATTCATGAATATTATACAGAAACTGTACTAATATTATCTTATATGAAACCGTGTTACGTTGTACAATTATTATACTAGTGTTATTAATCTTTAATTTTAAGACAGTATAGTGACTAGCTATCAAGCGCTTTTAAATGTGTTGATTCTACGCTTTATAATTACGATGACATATTATTTATTTTTCGGATTTTACTCGATAAATCATCATAGAGTATGCAGAGACGCAATAAATACATGATTATGTCATCTGCAAGTATACATAAAAAAATTAAGCTTAAAAAATAATTGTTTTATCAACAGAAAAAAGTATGGTACGAACAGAGCTACACTTGTCTCGGTTTATTCATGTACTGCATTATTGTATATTGCTATATCAGTGCGTGATTCATACGATTTTTTTTGCATTTTCATCATACCAGGAAGTATTTCTTGATACCCGTGCAAATTTATATTTTGTTATTTTTCGAGTAAAACTAGCTATTTTTGGTACAGACTAGTACATAGATTTATTTTGCAATCCATAAAAAGGCGTCAAAAGTTATCACAATAGATATTATTATTTAAAAATATTAGTAAAATTACGATTTCAAGGGATGTTTAGCAAGAATATTCGTAGAGTTTTGTTGGAAAAGTGGTAATGAAAAAATTTACTGTGAGTGAATCATTTTATTTCAAGTATATATTATTTGTATCGTATAACCTATTGTAAGTCAAACTTATTTTTAAAGTATAGCAAATATGGGTGATTGTCCGGACGAATTTTAAAAGTGTGAAGTTACAGTACTACCTCAAACTGATCCAAAACTCTTTATTTGTCTCTTTTTGTATGATTGCACTTGAAATCAATTCCTTAAAATCACTTTGTGTTACACAAAATATTATAAATATGCATAATACATTTATATTATAAAATGGTTTCTAAAATAATGAATTGTAATTTTTATTTTTATTATTCTTGATTAGTTAGAAGGGCCGGCTCAAGGTATAGGCGAGCTAGGCACCTGCCTAACTAGTAGGGGCGGCATTTTCAAAATTGACTCGAACATTCTTTTAGTTCTATTGGTGTTTTATAAGAAAAATATTTAAATTAATTCATTCATTAAAACCACTTACCTATATAATAAAATAATATTGTCTAAAGTTATTATATTACTTTATATTACGGCCTACGCTGGGCGTTTTCAATTATTCAAAAAATATAAATAACCACATATCCGATAGTCGTGGTAGTGATGGATTTTGAGCAATAGTAATAGAAATCATTATTAAGTCTTTTTACATATAATTTTATTCATAAAATAAAAAATAAAAAATTTTTTTAAGTAGATATATCACATACAAAATAGGAGGAGGGGCTAAGTTAAAATAAGAGCTCAATTTTTTTTTTAAAGGCGGCAAAATTTGATTTGCCTAGTGCACTATTTTTGCTTGGGCCTGCCCTGTTAGTTAGAATTATATTATTTTAGGCTCTTACTCATATTTATTATTCATTCTTTTAAAAAGGTAATATATAAAATAATATTAGAAATTTAGATATTTCTCTTTGATTTTAATCTATAATTTCAAACATATTTGTATGCCATTCTTTTTATTTTTCTAGACTTTTTGGATCAAAACCATATAAGAAATGGCCATTATACTTTCTAAATCTTAATCATTTTTACAACTTAAGAAACTTGTACTAATAATATTTATTATAAATTTAACATCAATACATATATTATTATATAAAAGGAATTATTTTTTTTTTAAGTATATTGTTGTATAATGTATTTTTGTATTATTAGTATTAAGAAAACTCTAATCGGTCATATTTTTTTTTTAGTTTCTCAGTTCATTGAGGCTTTTCGCTGTTTTTTCTAAACTT